GTAGCTGCGTGGAATGACCTTCCTCCGACGGTTGTCCACGCTCCTTCTAGAACCCAGTTTAAAGCACTGTTAGACATTTACCTATGCGAATTCTCGCGCTGGCAAGCATACTGCCCCGCGCTGAGAACATAAAGAGCAGTGCTACACCTTTTTCACTTCTGTCTTTCAGGTGAACGACATCCACTGACCGACAAGAACAAAACCGACCCGGGATTCCTGGGCAAAAGCCTCGATCCTGTGTATCAATCCGTGAATCCGTGGATGCGAAATGGAAATGCCAGACTCACAGATTCACCAAGTGATAGAAAGAATCGAGCATTTCGCCCAAGTTCCCCGGGTCAGTTTTGTTCTTTTCGTTAAGCAGCCGCATTCACCTGGAAGCACAAGCTAATGAGTGGTAAAGTACTGCTGTGTAAGCTTCTAGTATGGGATACTGTGCTTGTCAGTGCTAGGACTCGCGTAAAAAATGTCTAATTGTGCTTTGAGCTGGTACTATATGTAGCCTGGCTCACCATTGGAGGAGGGTCATTCCACACATCGACAAACCAAAACGAGTTACAATTTCTCCTAATAGAACTGTGCATTTTGAGCTTGAAAATCTCCTTATCATGTCCCTAACGTGGTTGACACCTCGACGCACAATACATTTTTCTGAAAAAACCCCTGCGGGTCGAGTAAAAACTTTAGCGTCAAAATGTTTCCCTTCTTTGCATATATGCTCAGTCTGAAAATACCCTCATCTTCCGTCATTTTTTGCGATTTGTTTTAATCGATCTCTTTTGAAAATTGTTATTATTATTATTATTTGAAAATTATTGGGCTTAAACTTCGTGCGCTGTGGCTTCGGAAGTGGCTTTCGTTGAGAAATTTGTGGGTGTATCGTCTTCATCCTTCACGGCATTTGAGAAGACCTTAAATGAATACATGAAGGACAACTTTTTGGTACTTATGCGTTCACCCAGTAATCGGAGCACCAACGCTATTTTGCTTTACGAATGTGTACTACAGATGCAGCAGAAGCCCTCAAAGGCCAACGGAAAGCCGTGGAATCCGAAGAAGCTAGTAAGTCGAGCGTATTTTCCAATAAAAAATGTACGCGAAGCACCAGCTGTCCAGTGCGGTTTTGTCTACGGGGGCAAAGGAACCAACTGGCAACCACCTCTTATTTTCTGGAACACAACCACAAACTGTCAAAGTTTCTGTACGATGGGCTTCCAGTCAATTGACGCCTAACTGGAGAAGAGTTGGGCACAAGCAAGGCCCTGCTGAAACATGGAACGCCGTCATCTGATGTGCGGCAGTTTGTGGCGGATGAATTCGGAAAGATTCTTACCAATAAGGATACACACAACTACCGCTCAGCAGGTGCCGCATGGTTGGGTTTTAATGTAGCAGATGATATGCCTTCGGTCCTGGCAAAACTTCGGGAGACCAGACGCGTTTTTGTGTTTCAGTCACAGGAAGGTCACTATATCCACATATGCTTCTCCCGATAGCAGCAGATAGCGTTGTTCCGACACTTTCCAGAATGTAGACCAAACGCACGCAACAAACCGCATAGTGTGAGTTTTTTGAAGCACCTAATATTAGGCATGTAGATATAAGCTTTACACCTTCTTGATAACGTATGGCACGGGAACCGGGCGTCCGGTTGTATATGCATTCGTAGAAAGCGAGCAGTGTGCTCCCATGCGTAAACTGTTTGGCTTATTCAAAGAAATGATGGGCGAAACTTATCCGGTTAAGACCTTTGTAATGGACAAGTTGGCGGCGCAAATGCGTGCAGCAAGAGTCGTGTTCGGCTGTGACGTTATGCTTTGCTACTTTCACGTCCGCAAAGCCATTAGGAAGCCTGTATGTATCATTTAATATCCATGTATTTTTGGTCGTAGACACATTCTGCGAGTAGCCGGCACATATTTCACCGCGTGGCTCTCCTGGACAACACTGTGCAGTAGGTTTTTTGTTCATCTTATTACAAGCACACAGATTCCGGCAAGACCTGCAGCTTCTGCGCCGCACCGATCCTCGATTTCTTTCCCATCTTACGGCCCTCCGGTCGTACCTCACACGAAAATAGGCCATTCACGCACAGTCAGGCATCGTGTAACCCTAGCCGCATGTTGGTCGTGTGCGTCGGTTAACATCGTTCAGATGCCTGATATGATCGGAGTAGGCTCTATGTGGCTAGTTAGTTAGGCATCGTGTACCCCTAGCCACATGTTAGTCGTGTGCGTCGGTTAGGTTCGTTCAGCTGTCCGCTATGATTGACGTATGTTCCAAGTTCCTAACTGATAAACCTCCAGGTCTTCCTAGCACAATTCGCGGCCTATAATGGAAAACCCCGGTTTCTACCGGCAAACGTGCAAACGATTAGCAAATAATTAGCGTTCACTACGGAATTTTTACTGACAACAAAGAATCATCGACCGAAGTTTGTTTGCACGAATGTGCCTAGGCATATGTTGCATCTGCAAAGGCCATTTAGATTCTAGAATGTTGAGGAAATTTGTTCTGGTGTAAAAATACCTGAAAGCTACGTTCATTGTATGTGAGTCAACGTTTTCCACAATTCGCGATTTTTATCAATAGGCAACGTATTCACAGTCGGTGGTGTTTATTGACCTTGAGAATTCGCTCACTCAAACAAATCGCCATAGTTAATGATTTTCAATAATACGGGAGCATACACATTATACATAGACATTCTACACTATGAAGTGACAAGTCTGAAGAGGCCGTAGATTTCGAGAAATTAATCGTATTGTGCGAATAGCCAGCGGCCCTGCCGTGAGTTATATAGGTGGACGGTGAAAAATCTGTTGTCCAGACCTTGTTCAAACAGAACAAGAGTAAGTATTTGGTCTCCTCGGAGTCATCGACACTCCATGGGAAAGTGATCGAGCACCTTAAGACGTGTTTCCATGGTGCACACATCTAAGACCAGCAACCATTTTCGTATCAGCTCACCGGACACGCTCAGTGGGGTTCACGTCGTTCTTGCGTCCTGATTAAACAACTTAGTTGGTATATTCAAGAAGCCTTTTGAGGTGGGTCCCATAGAGTTTTGGGAAGTCCATGCGAGTACTACATGAGAAGCTTCGCCGAATCAACCAAAGAACTATGAATGTCTTTTCGAGCCTACTTGTCATACTGCAGTGAGAAGGGCGTGTTTGAGGAGAGCCGGATATTCAAATTCTTTTTGGCATCCATCCACGCGATGACTTCCGGTCCAATTTTCCAAGTGCACGAAAAAACGTTCGCTGACTCTCCTCGGATTGACATATGTACGCACTTATTGTCGTTCAGAGGTAGGGCAAGTACAAAGACCACTTCATTACAGCGTTTGCATCCATCCGGAGGGCTCCGGCATGAGACCTCCGGGGTTTCAAGTAGTCCAAAAAAGTAGTCATGGACTTGAAAGGTCGCTAACGTAGATCAGAAATAGGAGGAATCCGATAGAGATCAACGTCGGAGAAGAGTAGGTTGAGTCCGCTTTCCGTCGGAACGTTCTATCCGATAAAAACGATCTAACCTGGCTTAGAAGTTACCCGTGAAATTCACAAGACTCAAGTTTGCGGAGCGATGGGGTGTGTGGGGCTAGATCGAATGATTTTGAGAACTATCTTGCGTTCGACAGAGCCCCTTGTCCTCTACTTGGGTTAACCCGCCCGTAAATATGGGCATTTTCGTCAATCAAGAATGGTTTGGGAGGAACCTGCTTTGTGATGGAGATATAAAATTGCTGGAAGTAAGGTGATCTAGGATAGCCCGCTTCAGAATGAATTCCATCACTTTTCACAATACGCTAGTGGGGCTAATAAGCCTGTAGCTCCAAATCAATAGTCGATTTCCTCGAACGAACACCGCGTCAGTCTGGTCAATTTTCTGGATGGTTCTGTATAAATCTCATAATGGAGCTGATCTAAGTTTAAACTGATCAAGAAAAATGCGCACTCCTCATAAGCCTGCACGACAGAAGTTTCGAATCCACGTCTGAGATTCGGGATTTCTGGCCCAGCAGCAGACGAACTCAATATTCAGAGCACAGTGATCACTATCATTATTACGTTTCTGTGAAGCGATAACGAAGTGCCTTTCGTTTGTGATAGTCTAATCCAGGAGAGATGGTAGTTGGCCCGAGCGATTTCTGGTAATTTTCACGACATGCTGAGTCTCAGCGCTCCGTTGAATGACTTTGCTCAACGCCATTGCGGAACGTCCAATAGACCCGAAGCTTTGAAGCTCTATCCAAGATATTTGGGTGCGCTAAAATCACCTACCATCAAGAGATGTAGGAGGTGGTATCTGAAGGTAGCATGCAAACAGATGAATATCATTATTCTAAATGGGCATCTCTCCCAAGAACCGCGGCCGGTGGGCAAAGGACTTGCGCTTTTGAATAAGGCTTACCCGTGGGCATACATCCACGGCGAAACGGGCATATAACTGTCTTACTTTTGTTGAAGTTTTTGACATTTTCTGCGTTCCTAATTTTTGGTGTGCGTTCTGATCGTATATCTTTTGCTTGGGGCCAGACGCCAAGCCCCAGACACCCGAAATTTCCGTAAAACGGTAATTCGCAGGATGGAAACTTCAAATAAAGTTTCAGCATTTGGTGGATCCTCAAAGTTTCCCATGCGGCCACAGTTTTGTTGGAAGCTATTCAAACAACAGAGCAACCAATGAGTCTGCTTAGTTTCAGAGTAAAGCACCTGT